CATATTTATACAGGAAGCTGAGGACTCAAATAAGGCACTTCCCAATGTTATGCAGATAAAGTCATGAATATTAATATGATTCCATTTAACACTTAAAACAAATCCTCCTTAGTAGGATAAAAAAAATGTCCCCCAAGTAATATCTCTTCAATGTGATTAAATTTTTTTGACTATCTATTTTTGGAACCTTAATAATATCTGATATTTAGTAATACACTCTGGTCTCTTGGTTTATAATTGCACTTTTTCTTGGGGCTCTTCGAAGATGCCTGTATCTGAAAACTTAGAAAAACTCAGCAGTAATTTGTAAACCCAGAGGCAAATAACATTCAAGTTTTTGCAAAAGCAGTAATCTTTACACGGGTAGTATTACAAGATATTATTGAATTAATACTTTTTCATTAATACAGGCATCAAAGCAGACCCTTTCATTTTTGTATCAGCATGGAATTGAAATGAGTGAAATTAGACGTCTGAGTCCTCTGTGACCTGGTGTCTGTGAGTAGCAAGGCAGCTTGCATTCTGCAGATTTGCAAGCCCTGGAAGAACTTTAAGAGGTCATCTAATCCAGTCCCCTGCTGCCAAAGTAGCTGTTTAAAAATGCACTATTTTTCATTAGTCTGGAATTTTAAAAAGGATTAATGAATTTATAAATGTATTATTTACAATGTTCCGAGCATGTCTCTAACTGAAGCTAACTGTTTGACTTTGAAATGATAAGTTTGTGTGTGTGTGTTAGAATCTGAACTTCTCTTAGGATGCCTCGTAATTCACAAAGTGTTTTTCCATTTGTAGTCTTTCATTTGATCAATAACTGAGTTTTATGTCCTAGGAAATGTCTTGTAATTTTAAAAAATAAACCTCTGGCTGAGTGTATTCGGCTGATTTCATTATATTAATAGGCCTAATGATTTGAATCCATGTCATTTCATAGAATCTATGTTATATCTAGCTTCTAGAAACCTAAATAGTTCATTGGATTCTGTAGATGAAAGTAGAGCATCTACCGTGTGTCTTAGTATTGAAATTACCTATAGCCTCTAACTCCAACAGATAGCAATTGTGCTCACCAACCATTACAGATTATTAGCATACACATTCCCTTGAAACTGTATCTGCTATCTATTCTGCAAAACTGTGGTCTATACCAAAGATAGTTGGTGATTTTTCAGTCTGACCAGGGCTCATCTCTGCCCCATGTGGTGTCACTGGGAGCGGAGGATGAATACTGAAAGGTCTGTTTCCAGGGTGCACGCTCTGACGGTTGGCAATTTTATGCAGTGTCATTAGGCACTCCACCAGAGCTGTGGACCATACAAACCTCCACACAGGCAGCATGGGTCACTCCCAGGCTGATGGGTGGGCTCTAACAGGAAACATTCTGCACCAGTGTGCAAAGTACATAAAATGAACAATTCTAGCCGCAGAAGTCACATTGATACTGCACCGTTGGCTGAAGCAGTGTAGCATCCCAGGTTGAGGGAAAGAGCCTGAATGAAGAATCACTGACCTTAAAGACACTGTGGCTGTCTTTGGGAACGTGCCACATACATGGTTTGCTCAAAACCATCATATGACATATTTTATTCTGGATACAGCTTAGTTTGATAGAAGAAAGAGTGAATGGAAAAATACGAATTCACTACAATTATTCCTTAAGACAATGTGCTTTAAAATTGTATCTTATTTTAGAAAAGGGGAGAAAGATAGGCTATTTTTAATGAAATGATGGATATAAAAGCACATCATCTATCACATAAGATAAAATAAAAATTAAAGATGATGGATTAAACAATAGAAACTAGTTGCCAGCGAGCTGAATCAGTGGGTAAAGGTGCTTGCTGCCAAGCCTGATGACCTGAGTTCGATCCCTGGGGCCCACTTGGTGGAAGGGGAGAACTGATTGACTCCTGAGAGTTATCTTCTGACCTCCAGGGGAGTACAGAGTAGCATGAACATGCTCCACCCTCCCAATAAATAAATGTAGAAAAGACTTTAAACAGCAATGGTTCTGTAGTACAATTTACTTCAGCATCCTTTGAAATCTGAAGTTCTGATGAAAAGGAGCCTCATTTAAAAAACAGCAACAACCATGTAACTGCTGTCTGTTGCTTATTGCTTGGTGAGACTCACAGTGTAGCTTCTGGGACAATTGTAGCTGATGTTTTCTAAAACTCAGAATTGCTGTTGTGGAGTTCTCTGTCTGGGATTCTTTAAGAGGTCTTTTATTCCTTCAGAGAACATTTTCTCTGTTTCTTTAAAGTGTAACTGCTGTTCTGAGCATAGTTCCTTCTTTACATGGTGATATACATATAGGTTTTATTCATCAGATACAATGAAGAATACATTTCTAGTGTTCCCTTTGTGTTCTTGTCTTTTGAACTATTGGATAGTTTCTTTAATTGTGTAATCATAAAAAATTAAGTGATTGCCGGGCGTTGGTGGCGCACGCCTTTAATCCCAGCACTCGGGAAGCAGAGGCAGGTGGATCTCTGTGAGTTGGAGACCAGCCGGGTCTACAAGAGCGAGTTCCAGGACAGGCTCCAAAGCCACAGAGAAACCCTGTCTCAAAAAACCAAAAAACTAAAATTAAGTGATTAAGGCACATTTTAGAAGCTATGGAAAGTTTATTTTACTTTTATGTTCATTAAGCCACACATTGTAGTTAGACTCTTTGGTAGAATTTGTTCTCTAGAGCATAAAGATTTCTCCTCCAACGTAAATTATTATCTATTAAATAACATTCCCTCCTCCCCACCAGAGGTAGGCACTGAATCCAGGATCTCAAGTATGCTAGGCAAGTACTCAGCCACTGAAATTTGCCCTCAGCCACGTTACTGTATTTTAAGAATATGCTACTGTAAGTTATTTGCTAGTATAACAGCCTCATGTGATCAGAGCTTCAGTTACAGCTCTCAGCCAGTGTATGTTGAGCTAGTCACTTTGTGTATCTATCGAGTCCTCAGAAGAAATCCGAGAGGATTGTAGCTCTACCTCTCAAGTGAGCATCCTTCTCCCCTCGCTCCGTCTCTGCTGGAGTCTTTTCTTTACCTGTTTCATGCACACAAGATAAGGAAAGTCAGAAACTGGTGCCCTGTTACAGAGATTTCACTTATGCATAGGATTTCTGCCTTTCACTTCCCTGGCCACTGAGGTTTGGCAGGACTCCAGATATGGAGGGCTCGTTATGGCTCTGCTCATAGCCCCAACCTGAGGTCAACTTGATTCATATGCATTATCTAATTGCTACATCTTCTGTAGAAAGATGAAATTCTGTTTATCCAACCATTTTTAAAACACCATTAACAAAACACAGAAACAAAACATCAGGGCTGTGTTTTCATCTTCAGTGCTCCTTCCTCCCTGCCTCCCTGGCTGCCTTTCTGTGGGAAGACCCACCCAGAGTCACTCAGGCAGCAGTGACACTCGTGAGTGGGAAGAGTCCAGACATTGTTAAGCAGGCCACAGATGTTCCTGAACAGCCAAACCAGCTGCTTAGTGTGCCTGGGCAGGTTTGTAAGCCCTTTCACTCTGTGCAGGGTACCAGCTCTGCTTGGGTAATCTTTCTACACAGTAGCATTCATCTAGTTGGCACTCTCTTTTTGCAGCGGCCTTTCTCACTTGGGTAAGTCTGAGGCATGCCACATCAGGATGAGCAGCGAGGTCACTTTACATGAGAAAGCTAACGGGCATGTGCACAGTGCCTCGTTGGTGCATTGGCGGATGCCGGCAGTGGCTGTGCAGGTGAGGGCGCCGAGGCAGGAGTGATCTCGCCTTTTCTGAGGGCCAGCTGTGTTATGGTGAGGCCTTCTGCAGCCGTGTTTTAATGGCTTGTTTGTCAGTCATACTGCATGTGAAACAAGCAAAGCCTGGATCCTCCTAGGAGCCCAGGAGTTCTTTATTCATTCCTCCATATTGAAAATCATTGCTGTCAGCTTGAGCTCTCCAGGCTGCCTGGAAGAACTTTGGCATAGTTTTCCTAACCTTTCAAACACTCAAAGCAAAACTCTCCTTTGATAAAGAAAAAAAAAAAAAGGCCAGATGACTTTGGCACACGGCCATTAAGGATGCAGGCTACTCGGCGATCTGACAGAATATTCCACAAAACACTGAAAAGTTCCCCTGAAGGTCCCCAGAGTGGACCAAGGCACTTTGCTTGTACTTAACATATATCAACTGTCACCCGGCGGCACTGAGTGTTGACTGAACACAATGGGACATCCAGATGGTCTAAACAAAGGGGACAAATGTTCGCTGCTATTAAAAGCTGTTTGCATCAACTTCCAGGATTTCATGTAGCGAAGTTTATATTGTGTCACCGCTGAGGTGCTCAATGCTCTCCCTAGCCAAGAGCAGCCCTTTATAAACTCCTGTTGCACGGGGTTCAGGCACTTAGCGCTAGTGGAAAACGGAGAACAAGAAGCCAGGGAAGTGAAGAGTGTTAACCGGTTCGGCAGCTTGCGACGTGTTAAACCACTCGCCCACGCTCTGTCTTATCGATCATCCATTATACTCTCTGCTCCACACCCAATAGACCAAAAGCAGACCCTCTTCTTTGATGGGGGGGCGTGTCATGGATGGATGGATGGGACCGCTATCTCCTTCTGCAGACAGAGCCTTTGAGTCTCCTTGTCTCCTCAGTGGGGATGTTTACGTGGTCACGGTTTTGTTTTCTTCCTCCTAGGCACCGTGATATCAGGTCCTGTCTATTCAGGATTACTATGAATCAGTGGGAGCCCTACACTTTGCTGTCTTCTTCCTTTGACCTCACCATGGCACATCCTTTACATTCCAGATGCATAGGCCGTATTGTTAAAGGGCTGTTTTGCCACTGATAACATTACCAACGCGAAGGGCCTCCACATTCCTGCTCTAGGGACGCGTCTAGGAAGCTGTCCTTGTCGTCAGTAGCCGCTCACTGCACTTTCTCGTATGATAATATACTTAAATCAATGAGATATCAGTAGCATGCTACTTATTAATTTGTCCTAAAATTCCAGGTCTGCTGAAAACATAAAGGACTGCCACCAGTGCAAGCTTAACAATTCTTTTCTATGTAAGTAGACACCGTTTTATGTCACATTGGGCTTAATTTTATGCCTTTAAGAATAATTGTTCATCATTTGTTGTGTCATTTTGAAATTACCATATTTCAAGTTTTTAATGAAGCTTTTGAAAAAACAAGTTATCTCGTCACAGTAAATCAAAACACTTAAAGCATGATCTGTTGACCTTGTTTTCTGCAGAAACAGCCTTTGTTTGGGGGTGAGATCAAGATGGCACTGAGCAATGTCACACGCCTGACGCAGAGCCCGGTTTTACTGATATGTGACACCCTCAGCGAGAGATTAGTTATAGTGAGATATTGTTTTTTCGTTGCTGGTTTTTCAGTAACAGCTGGTGTGGGCAGCTTTGTGAGCCTGTCACATTGGACTCCTCACTGCTGCCCTGGGAAATTTTTGTCATAACAACTGATCTGATAAATGCGGCCACTTTGCTAACCGTGCTAAGAGTAGGTTCTGACTTCCTAGGTTTTACAGGGATCTTGACCTTCCTTGTGTTAGCATAAGAGAGTCAAAGTTTTGGCTCCCATATTTAAGTTCAAAGACAAATACATTGTCCTAGATAGGTGCCATGGACTTCCTGACAGCCTTCCCTGGAACAGCTACCTGTTAGAGTTTGAGACTCTGCTCTGACAACGGTTCTTTTCTTTCTTTCTTTCTTTTATTAAAATGCCATCCAGGAGACCACATGAAAGCAATGAGACCATCATTCGCACCTCTGTTATTTGTACTAAGAACTTAATTTTTGTGGTTGTTCGTGTCTGGTATTTTGCAAAGACGCCTCGGAGGCCTTTGGATTTTGAGGACAGGGATGACACAGATGTGAAAATGAAATGTCACAAACACGAGCTCCTGCTTTTGCCAAGGGTCAGATACCGTGCCCACTTCAGAGGAGCCATTCCAAGCCTGTCTGTCATTCCCGCGCAAGCTGCTGGGTTTCCTGTTTATGCGCGCAGAGTTCCACATCCTGAGAGCTTGCCTTCAGCGGCAGGTTTTTCCGCACACCCTGGGAGATCTCTTCCTCAAGCTGGCTCACTATCTATCATCTTAGTAAGCGATTGGAATTTTGTTAATTCCTGTTTTACTTTGTGCATGCAGAATGCTGCCATTGTCAGAGGGAAGATAATGTTACTCATATATGCTGCTGAGAGTCCCGTTAAGCAGGGACTTGGACAACCAGAGCAGTGGACAACAGCTTCATGGCCGTCCAGGGTTTGGGGATATAATAAACTCATGTTAACACCTTTTCTAATCTAACTACTTATTCAAAGAAGTTTTAGTGCTTACTCTTTCCTAAATAATTCAAAATTAAGAAATTGCCTTGGTTGTGGCCAGATGTGGAATTAGTTGTTGTCCTCATAGTATGTGGGATTTTCATAATTTCTGTGCCCCTTAAGACATGTTGTGAGATTATATGCTTGTTCACCACTAAGTATAAATAACACATTGTTGCATAGTCATTCTTTCTAAGGACTGTTTGTATCTCAAGATAACAGCATAAGCTGAGAAAATAAAGGTTTGAAGTTGACGTTTTGGCTTTCTGGACAAAAGAAGTTTCTAGGGGCAAGCAGAATTTCCTGGGAACCCCTGTGACCATCTCAGCTAAACAAAGAGGGTTGGTTCCTTGAAGCCGTACCTTTGTGATCTTATTCATGTGCTCATCAGTTGATGTAGTGAACTTTATCAAAACATCACGTTTAGGTATTCTAAATTAGATTCTGTAGTGAGAATCTGTTTCTATTCTGTCTCAACAGAAGGATGTCTAGTTTTCCCTTTCTTCTGATTATGCCAAAAACCAAAACCAAAATAAAACAACAAAAAGAAAAACCAAAAACCCCAAACCCACTTAATCTTTTCAAATAATTTTGAATTATGTGAGATCATTTTTGTCAACCCTGTACTTTCTTTTAGATTCTCTTGATGACTTTAAAAAATACCTCTTAACATAAAAGAATATGAACTCCCTCTGAGAGCTGGCCATGTGTGTCCCAGGCACTGAGTACCACTCAAATATTTGGATGGTAAATGTATAGATTATAGAAAATGAATTCTTACAGAATAATTTGAAAACAGAAGTGAACAGCATGATTGAAGATGATTGCTTCTTAGTAATTTTGACTCTATGATTTTGATTTCATGCTTCTAAATGTTTATTTTCAGTTTGTGTTGTAATTATCACACCAAGGGTAGTGTTTTCACTTCACAGGGAGGGCGAGACTCTTAGCACCCTGCAGTCTGATTTATAAAAGAGCACGAGATTAAAGTTGGGAAGATTGCATTAATCTGACACTAGGTCTCCCTGTAACATACTTGATATATGGGGTGATCACAGTAAACATGTAATAAAAAGTCAAGGGAGTACAGTACATCCGATATAAATGGAGGGGACCCCAAAGACTTAGTGGCTCTGGGCATGTGCAGTGTAGCGCCTGTTTGTTTGATTAGGACTGAAACACCTTTGCTAACAAGAGCTCCAATCACATTTCACCATTGCTTTCCCGGGAAGAAATGTATTTAGCAATCAAAATCTTAGAACTGTAAGGTGTCTATTTTAGTTCTAACATTATAGGATTCAGTTGCTTTCCCAGAGTGTTTCTTCTTCAGTTTTGGACGTCTGCACAGCTCTTCCAGGTAGTACTCATTATAGCAAGGTCTCCCCATTATCAGCAGCTCAGAACTAATGTTTAGAATACTAGACATTATTCTTTCTGTGTGTTTCTCCTGAGTGGGATTCTTCATGAACCGTAGTGATCCTGTGTTATATGACTAACTGATTACAAAGCAGCGAAAACTCCGTATCTCTGCAAGCACTCCACAATCAGCCATATTTATAAACACAGCTTCTTCAGAGAGGGGGTGAGTCTGGGCTGGCTGTGGAATGGCTAAACACTGAAATCCTTGGAGAATCACGCTTAGATTGTGGGACGCATCAGCACACATGTTTTATCTATCATCAAAAAAAAAAAAGCATCCCATTTAAGACTTTCCCAGTGGTAATCAAGGTCAAAGGCAGAGAAAAACTGTATTCCCTTTGGAGCACATCACGATAATCTGAGTCTCCCGAGAAGACTGGCTTACTGGGCCAGTTCCTTTCCATGGTAATAGTGCTGTAACTAAATTTGACTTTCCCAGCTCACTGCCAAGACATTTGTAGACTCTTCTTGAAAAAAACCTTGACTTCTAGTAATTCTTGCCTAGGAGAATGGATTTGCTGTCTTTTATCGATATACTTTATCTTTTTCCCTAATTGCTTGTCTTAAAGATTATTCTTAGGATATATCTGATTTGATGATACAGGCTCAGGAGATTTTTTTTCATTTTAAAAAATTTAAAATCATTTTATTAACTTCTTTTTTCCCCCCAAGATTTTTCTGTGCAGCCTTGGCTATCCTGGAACTCACTCTGTAGACCAGGCTGGCTTTGAACTCAGAGACCCACCTGTTTCTGCCTTTTGAGTGCTGGGATTAAAGCTGTGTGCCACTACCATCCAGCTCATTTTATTAACTTTTAAGTGTGGCAGCTGTAAGTCATTTCTGATATTCCTGGGACAATAGTCAACTCTAGTGTGGGAAGATCTCGGGAGGATGCAAAGCTTGGCTGAGTCTCAGAGCACAACCAGGAATAGACACACTCATGTGCAAAATGAAGGATGTGCAAAACTATGGATGAAGCCAGGCATTGGTGGTACACACCTTTAGTCCCAGTACTCGAGAGGCAGAAGTAGGCGGATCTCTGTGAGTTCAAAGCCAGCTGGGTTTATAGAGTGAGCTCCAGGACAGGCTCCAAAACAATACAGAGAAACCCTGTCTTGCAAAAACAAAAAACAAAACTATGGATGGAGGGTAGAGTTTCTGTAGGAAGGTACGAATTTTAGGGGACTGTAACATTCAGAGGAAGGAAGGGAATAAGAGTCAGCAGGCAAGGTATGTCCCATGAAGTATCTGTAGGCAAAATGAGGGGCCCTTGGAGAATGTTTAAAAGGCAAAGGATATGCATGATCTGAAGAGAAACCAGAGTATAGGAAGACTCTAAGTGATTAGAAGGGCATTTT